ATTAGTGTACACAATCTTCAACCATAACTCTGGAGCAATTTCATGATCGTCCCGTAAACATGGCGCTAGATTCCCCTCCACATACGCCATTATAGTTTCAGGATTATTTAGCCAAACAAGAAAATTAAAATCAATATAATCCACGTGCGCTCGTAAAAATTGTTTATATCGAATCAAAAACTGTAGCAACTCTCTCCTATTATGATGTATCAACAAATCCACTAATTCATCCCAAAAAATATTTGAGATCATAGTAAGAATTGTATCTAAAACAAAAGACGGATGATCACACCAACATCCGTGACGTAGGTTTTCTACGTAAGCAATATGTGATATTTGCGGTAGAATTTCCGAGAAAATTGTTTTGTCATCCATCTGAAATGATGTACAAAAACGATTCTTAAATTACCATGTGTGTTAAAACATGTAAAATACCTGAAAACATGACGTTATCCATCGATATCCATTGGAGTTTCATCTTCTTCTCGAAGAACTACTCTTAGCTGTCGTATTGTTGAAAATAAGTAATACTTGATTTCTAAAAATTTAATAAATTGGGTTTCACTTAAAATATCAGTATACCACTCAAAAATCGACAAAAGCATTTCAGCTTCAAACTCTGATTGAATTTCCCAAAAAAATATTACAGCTTCAAACTCTCTAACTACAACTTCTTTTGTTTTTAAACTCAGTGAAAAAAATAAATTAACAAGTGCTTTTATTAAAGGAACCTCCAAAAGATCCATATCTATCTGATCACTTGCTTGTATCTGATCGCTCGCTGAATCTTTAATTTGCATGTCCGCGCATATTGTATAATTAACGCTGTGATGGGTGCTGGCGCATCTCATAAGTATGCATAACACCTTTTCTCAAACGCTGACATTGAGAGGTGCGATGCAAAAAGTTACGTCCACTCTTGCAATATTCTTGAATTCTTTCACGTAAAATGCTGGCGTTGAGAGGTGCGATGCAAAAAGTTACGTCCACTCTTGCAATCTTCTTGAATTCTTTCATGTAAAATGCTCCATCCGCCTCCCTGACCCCCAAAACGTAACCACTTTCGTGCTGCAATTATTAACCTTTACTTCAAAAAATTATCATTATCCGAGATTCAATTTTTTTGCTATTGTGCTAATTGCATAAGAATAATTATTCAACCTTTCAGTGAGAAAAATTGTGATTTTTTACTTCAAATTTTTTTCGGAGGATTTTTTTTTTGTTGATAAAACTTGCATTTCTGATAAAGCTTCGTTTTACGAAAAACTTTTTTCTTGCTATGTCCTTGAAAGATTCAAATCCAGACGCAAGTCAGCATTTTTAAGAGGCTCCCTAAGCCGGAATCCCGAAATGTGCCGCCGTACATAATTCAGAAGATTTAGAATACTCGAACAGCAATCAAAGAGACTTAGAATCAGATGTCGAGTTGTCTTGGGAGCCTGAGAGGTTTTGCCATTTGCATCAACTCAAGTCGAAACGGTCTTTAAAACGCCTTCAATTTCCGTGAATGCAGCATGCTGTGCAAACCACGTACGCTGCGGACGCTGCCTTGCGAGTGGTGTCTGGTCTAGATTGAGTGGGATAGTAAGAATTGGTGGTGGTGAGATTGAGGGAGATGCTTGCCGGGGAGCCGGAATTTTATAGGGCACAAATGACGGAAATCTGGCGCGGCTGGGAACTACTGATGAAGAAGTTGAAAAGAGATGGGAAACACCTCATAAATTGTGGATGGATGGATTTACGGACGTTACTAGTAAAAGATACCTTCTTCATGTTATTTACGCCATACCGAAGAAATGCCCTCAGGCAATACCGGTGTTGTAACCCAAACCTAGTGTAAATATTAATTATAGTTTTAATTAATTAATCTCTATAAGTATTTTAACCTCTTCCAATAATCCTGTAACAAAAAAAAAAAATCCGGATCAGACACAAATGACGAAAATCTGGCGCGGCTGGGAACTACTGATGAAGAAGTTGAAAAGAGATGGGAAACACCTCATAAATTGTGGATGGATGGATTTACGGACGTTACTAGTAAAAGATACCTTCTTCATGTTATTTACGCCATACCGAAGAAATGTCCTCAGGCGATACCGGTGTTGTAACCCAAACCTAGTGTAAATATTAATTATAGTTTTAATTAATTAATTAATCTCTATAAGTATTTTAACCTCTTCCAATAATCCTGTAACAATATCACTATGAATCATAATTATGTCCTTATTCCTTTTCTTGTTAGACTGTATACTATAGGCCTTCTCGCCAATTACTGTCTTAATTGGTTGTAACTTGTAATTAAACTAATAAATATGTTATATCAAAAAAAAAAAAAAAAAAAAAAAAAAAAAAAAAAAAAATGTTATTTACGCGTTTGGAGCTGGAAGAGCCGATGAAGAGCGTCTTTTGCGATCTTTGGCTCAACTTAGAACATCCACTTCCTATTTTGCAACACACGGGCGGCACGTCCAAGCCGTCCAATTGTGCGAATACAACAACTCAACCTGCAGGTGCTACATTACCGAAGTCATCAGAAGAGATCTCGGACGGTGGTTGGCTCGCAAGTGTGTTGCAACAGCAAAAATCGACCGACAAAGATGGCGTAATTTGTCAGTTTATCTCGCATCAGGAAGACGGCGCCCAGCTAAAGCTAGTAACTCCTGGGGAAATTGGATTCGAGACTTGCAAGATAGAGATATATCCGTTCAACGAGATGGTCAGAGAAGAACGAATCGACTGGTGGAGAACAGCGAGGACACGGGCTTTGGTGCATTTCAACTGGCCACTGGATCCGGACCTACTGACCATCAAACGGATTCTGGACAAAAAGGCACGAGAAATCGACGCGATGGAGGGATGCCAGAGGAAACTCCGCAGGAGCGCTCTTGACGTGAATATCATGCGATCCTCTGTGATCATAATTATTTGCAGGAACATTTACGTAAATGCGTCGATGTAGAGGTGAATTCCGCGTAAATTTTGATGACTTTTGATACTTTTTTCAATCTTTAATTCAGTGAACGCTTTTGAAGTTATATTCTAAACCCTCTTTTGAAACAACTATTTTCGAACGGTCCATTGACAGTGCTAAAATTTTCATGAAACAAGCTTTAATCCATGGACTTTTAGAAGCTTTTGAAGAATAACTTTTAGACAACTGGTTGCAATTTTTAGCTTTTAACTTCAACATTTCTCCAACTCATAGAATTTACTTAAGAGTTTCCCCCGAAATTGCTTCTCAAAGGATACAGACCCGACAAAGAGAAGGAGAAAATTGTCTCACCTTAGAACGTATTAAGGAGTTGGTTGAGTTACACGATGAATGGTTACTAAACTGTGAGGTTACTGAATGTGAGAAAAAAGTGTGCATAATTGATGGAAATCAGGATTAGGAATCCATATTCCTAGATTGTCTGAAAGTGATTGATACCATACTCTTAGACTTTTTTGCCAAAATAGACTCACACCTGAGTTCTTTTCAACAAGAAATGTTATAAATTTAGTTTTTATTATCGGTTACAGTTGTAGTTTCCCCAATAGTTAAACATTTATTGTACTAAAAGGCAGTCACTATTTTATAACTTCTTTTTTTTTCTTACTCTAGGTTATGGTCCTAGTTTTTCCATTATTTATCAATTTAACATGCCAAAAACGACAGATTCAGCATTTCATGAAATCACAGGGATTTATTCCTTAAAGATTACTAATTGTAAAGACGTAGATGTGTGTTCACAAAAAGTGAGTCATCAAGTTATTACTTTTCTCGAAGAAAAAGTAAAAGAAAAACGACTCAAAATAGTCATTGATTTAGAATGTAAGTATTTCAATCCAAAAGTGGATTATGACTTATGTCCATGTGATATGTTTATGTGTGTTATGTTATGGCCATGTGGATATGATAATATGACTTATGTCCATTCCTCTCCTATAAAAATACTTTTAACCCAAGGAGAAGTTTCTAAAGTGTATAGTTATGCATCTAGAACAATTTCAATTTCAGCAGATGAGTTTGAAACAAGAAGTGAGTGGACTTTAGTTTCTTGTAAAACTTTCTTCATCAACTTGTGTAAGAACGTCCCTTTGAAAGGAAGTGATCACACTGAAATACCCGCTAGTTTAAAAGCGTCAAAGTCTGTCATTAACATCCAAAATAGTGATGATGAATGTTTCAAGTATTGTATTTTAGCAAAATTTGTTCCATTCCCGAGTAAACTCTCATCTTATACAAAAGACCCTTCATTGTTTGAAAAATACAATTGGACAACATTTCCTGTACGCTGGGAGGATTTTGATAAATTAAAGGCAATAAACCCCAACATTTTCATACACATTTATTCTTTGGAAAACTCTTTAGACCCCTATACTTTTCACCCTCTTCGAGTCCCGTTACAGGAAAAACAGACAATAGAGATCTCTTGTTATTGAACGGCCATTATTTTTATATTAAAAACTTAAACGCTACGATCATGGATATCACTGTTCTTTCTAATAATGTTGATCAGCTTCAGCAACTACATGTTGCGACTATGAGTAGTACAATTATATATTTCTTTCAAGCTGGCTTGGTACAGCATGCTGCTTCCATCCCAGAAAAACACACCTATAATGTGAGAAATGAGTTTATACTGGATGTAATACAGCAAATTTCAGTCATGACAAGCTTAGGAAGAAAATTTATAATAATTGGTAGTAACTCGGGTAAAAGACTTTTTGTAAAACCCGAATGTGAACCTTCCAATTTACAATCGGAAAAAATTGTCTTTACAAGCCCCTTTAAAAATTTACCTCTCATCCATTCCTTTAAAAAAATGTGTAACCGTTTTGAAGTATCACAACAAGAACTTATATCTAAATGCTATCAATTTTTGTTACACCAAGAGTCCGACCATTATGTAGATAAATATTTCATTCCGATATTTAGAACTAGGTTTTTAGCACGTATGTCCCTTATTAAAATCACATACCCTTAAGTTTTGATGTTTTTTTTCTCTTTTAGATGTCTAGTTATGATAACAAGAGATTGTTTTTAAGGGACAATATTTATTCCATTCCTTATCACCATTGTGATTGGGTGAAATACAATGAAAATTTAAAACGGGTGCATGAAGAACTGTTATACAAGATAGCGGAGAAAACATTTGAAGAATTAACGTGTACTGTGCAAGAAGAATTGTAATTATCTGTTCTTGAAAATAGCAGTCTTGAAGCTTGTTATTACTTTTTCTTAATTTTACCCTTTCTGTTTTCTTTACCCTTTCTTTTTTCTCTGTTGCCTCTCCTTTCAGTCTCTCACCTAGATTGCCCTGACCGCAAGAAGCAAAAAGACAGCACAGCAATCCTCCTCAAAGCAGTAATCTTATCAAGAGGAGGTCGTTCGAAGCCACACGCAAGAAAAGTACGTTTTACCTTTACGATCATGGAAGTCACTGCTTTGTCTATTAATGTTGAACAACTTCATCAAATACACGTGGCGACAATAAGTAGTACAAGTGTACATTTCTTTCAAGCTGGCTTGGTACAGCATGCAGCTTCCATGCCAGAAAGACAAATATACTTGTACTTGGAAAAATGTGTCGAGGCGATAGCATCCGTACCTGAAAAGTTTTATGTGATTTTAGAATTTATACAGGACGTAATACAGCAAATTTCCATCATGAAACGCTTAGGAAGAAATTTTATAATAATTGGTAGTAATGCAAGCAAAAGACTTTTTGTAAAACCTGAATTTAAACATTTCAATATACAACCGGAAAAATTGTCTTTAAAAGCCCGTTTAAAAATTTACCTCTCATCCATTCCTTTAAACAAATTTATACCCGCTTCGAAGTATCCCAACAAGAACTTATATCCAAATGCTCTCAATATTTGCTACACCAAGAATACGATCATTACATGGACAAATATTACATTCCAATATTTAGAACTAGGTTTTTAACACGCATGTCTCTGATTAAACTCCTACCCTTAAGTTTTAATGTTTTTTTTCCTCTGTTAGATGTAATATTATTTATGAGGGGGAAAATGAGAGAAGACAACGAATGGATTTTAGATACCTACCCCTCAGATGAAAGTGAGTCAAATTAGGTTCCATCAAGACGATCTTTGCTTTCATATTTCTTTTTCTTGTTTCAGTGGCTGAAGCTTTGCTTAGAAAATTGCAGCAGCTACAGGAAGAATTAAAAGGAATTAAAACCAAAGGGCAGCAGAAACGTAAGAAGGGGGGAATCATAGAAGAAGTTGGAGAAACAAAAAAACGCAAATATGTATCTAAAAAAACAGAAAATTTTATAAAAAAACCTTTACTGTTGAACAGGAGGGTGTATGATTTAACACAGGATTCCACTAAACAGGTTTATATTGGGAATGACCCGAAATCTGATTATAAAGCGTACGTAATACTGTTTAAATGTAGCTATCCACAGGAATGCATAAAAATGTCTATTTCTGAGTGGGAAGCGTTTAAAAGTCAATTTTCTACACTAACCACTTATTTTGAAGAAAAAAAAGAAAAAAAGAAAAGTCCAAAAGGCATAGAATTTGATGGGTTCGAAATTCAATTCGAAACCCACTACGGGAGTTTAAGCATGAAACTTCTCGAAAAGAAAAGTAAATCGGAAGTCATTTTCCAGAAACCGTCTTTTGCTACTTTAAAAAACGTATCGACGTTAGTGACCCTAGCAATAAAAGAATGTGCTATTAGTAAATCGAAATTTAGAGAAATGAGAAAATGGGACCAAGACCACGAAGTGCAAGAAGGATTAGATACGTATTTATTTGCAGAAATGGCAACGTTTACAGGGAGAAAGGACACTTCTCCCCCTGTGTCCTCCTCTTCAGATGAAGAATCTGATTAGAATTTTAAATTGTCTGTTTTTAGGTTTTGAGATTTGATAAAATTGTAAAATTGTTAATGTTTTTTTTAATTGTCTCTTTTATGTGATGAAATTTGTTTGTTGTCATGAGAGTTACTGTAATAAAAATGGTACTTTGCAAATTAATTTTTCCTCTTTTTACACCTTCTTTTTCTCGAAAAATCCTTTTTTAATTCTCTTTCATTCACTTAATAGAAAATTACCTTATCAATATAGGAACAACTCCGTAATGTATGGTTGCAAAATAGAGCACCAAGTAAGCTAGCACCAAGCACCAAGTAGTAGCCACAAGAAGTAGTTACAGAGTAGTTTCTATATGTATAGGATGAGAAATAAGAATTTTAGTCAAATGCTGGCAGTCAATCGAGAGAGAAGGAGCTACGGTCAAGCTACGAATTGGCTACGAGGTAGCCAAAATAGAACTGTACCCCTTTACGGACATAGTGCACGAGGACCGGCTGAATTGGTGGCGGGTCGCGCGGACACGGGCGCTGATCCATTTCAACAATCCGCTCGACCCGGACCTCGTTACGATCAAGAGGATATTGGATCGCAAGGCGAAAGAACTGGACAGCATGGAGGGGACCGAGAAGAGAGTTTCTAATTTGGAAACTCTCTTGGTAAACTTGCCACTTGCCACTTTGGAAATTCCAAAGTGGCAGCAGACAAGGGCAAAGGAACCACAAAGGCGAGCAGATCTTAAGCATAATCATGTCGTCCGCAGTAACACCGTTGGCCCGTTTCTTCGATTCTCACCTGTGGCTGGAGAGTCATTACCGTTGGATGCCCAACGATCAAAAATCTTTGCGCCAGGCTCTCAAACTGGCGCAATACCAAATAAGTAAGATGTCTCCCATACAAATTTTTAATCACGTCAACAGAATCGATACAGACAAGCTTTTGTTCGCATCAGATACTCCTTCCGAGTATTATTTAAGAATAATTAAATCTTTCAAAGTCTGTTTGGAATTATTAATATGGCAAATGGGTTTTGACAACATAAAAGATTTTTTACAAGATATATTTGACGCTTTAGAAAAGGTGCGGCCCAAAGTAAATACTCTGTTCGTATTGGGTGCTCCAAACTCAGGAAAAAATTTCTTTTTTGACAGTTTTATACATTTAATGATCAACTATGGACAGATGGGGAACTTTACGAGGCATGACAACTTCCCGCTCCAGGAATGCGTCCAGAGAAGAGTCATCCTGTGGAACGAGCCGGCCGCGGAGTCGGGAAGCTTTGAAACACTAAAAACTATTTTGGGGGGCGATACATGCAATGTCAAAGTAAAATACTGCATGGACCACATACTTCATAGAACTCCGATTATAATTTTATCGAACAATGACATTTTCCCAAAAGATCCTGCTTTTAATTCTCGCATAATTCGCCATGAATGGAGGGCCCCCACCTTTTCTAAAAGAACATAGACGCAAAGTGCATCCACAAACATTAGTTTATCTTTTTCTTTGTTTCAACATTGTCGATGAAACGTTAATTAATTTTAATAAAAATTATCTAGACGAGTGCGAGCGTGTAAAGAGAAACCTTGAAACTGATAACTCGCCACACGGCCGGTTCGATCCGGACCTCATAGAATGGGGGGAGGAATGGACGGACAGAGAAGAAGCAAACACAGATGATGATTAATTGATTTTTTATAATTTTATTTAATAAAAAACTTATGTCTATTGTACATTTTTGTGTTTTCACTTAAATTATATGAACACCCTTTATATCAGAAATAGACGGGTTTTTTTCGTTTGACCAACTTGGGCATATCGCTATTTTCGGCCGGGTGAGAAATAACCGAACCCATAAATGTAAGTCCCGAGGGCAAACGATTAAAACTGGCCCCAGAATTAAAAGTCATAATATTATCGTTCCATTGAACAGGTGTGGCGCCTCCCGTCATACAAGAATCAACATGATGACTTATATGAATAGTAGAAGTAACTTCAAAATAAGCGCAAGAAATTTGCCACGAAGATTCATTTTTTGCAGGGTTCAAATTGGGGGTGGGAAGCAGCCCTATGTGAACTTGAGGGTGAGCATCACGAAATTCCCCGACATCGAAATTATGAGCCGTAGGACCCAATCCGAGTTGTCCGTCGTAACTATAAGTGATGGGAACAACAAGGGCAGTATAATTTTCAGCTTCATTAGTACACTGAAAATCACCGTAAATATTCATATTTTCAGAGGGGTTCAAAGGGTTGGGTGCAGTAGTAGTTCAAGGGTTAAAACGGTACTTGAAAGAACCGAAATACTTTGAACTCAATAAATTCTGATTGGCCTGCATATAATTCATATTTACGCCTCTTTTTCCTTTTAGACCGCCGTTGGACGGTGAGTAAGAATAATCTGTAATTGGAACACCGATAGAAGTGCTAAACATAAAACGATTAATAATTTTATCCAAACGAGGATTATTTCCTTTACGAGGCACGTAATTACTTTTGGCTTTAATTTTAGCGTCAGATTTTTTCTTTTCATTATCATTATAAATATATGCGGCGTATTCATCGACCTTGTCATAGTCATATTCATTCATCCAGGTATTGCATCATGATTAGATGACTCATATCCGTTCAGTCACGCAGGAACTCCGTACATCCTGATTACTCATGCGTATTGCCTCAGCTTAGAAAGAAACCTTGTGCATTCGCGCAACCCATGAGTCACTAGGACTCTTATCTGGTACACCTTTGTATAAGTATAGCCGTGCTCGGCACCTATCTTCAGTCTTCAGCCAATACACTCATGAATACCACGGTACCTCTCAGTGTTTTCTCTTTCCCTGTGTTGACCCCCAGTTCTTTTCTCATACGCGTGTAAACCAGTGACACGACAATTGGCGACGAGGATAAAGCAATCATAATCCACATTCGCGGCCGTAGTGAAAAAATTAATCGTGTTCTATTAAGTTTACGCTCGGATCAACTTGATCACTTGTTCCGCTGCCGGTAGTGCACAGATAAGAATTTTCAACCGCGCCGCGCCGCACAGTTTACGCATCACTCAACATGACAGCAAACACAGAGGGAACGGAAGATACGTACCTGGCGCTCTTCCAAGAGCTAAAAGCCCAGACAAAGACGATTCAGCAACAATTGGAAAACCAGGGACAGCTAAACGAACACATCTCCAGAATGCGGAATTTTGGCATACCAAAGGGAGCCCTGATGACAAAATTTGAGGAGTATGACCCGAAGAAAGAAAACTTTAAATTCTACAAAAGAAGGTTTGAAAATTTCTTAAAAATCAAAAATATTGACGTTACAACTGACGCTGCAGCCTGTGTACCCCTATTGCTGAATTCAATGTCAAAAATTTATGACCAATTAGTCTCTTTGGTTACACCGAAGACTCCCGAAGAGATGAGCTATAAGGACCTTACACAACTAATACAAGAATATTTTAGTCCAGACCTGAATACGGTCGTAGCTCAACACCGATTTTCCTTAACAGTGCAAAAAAGTGGTGAAAGCATCACAGATTATCTCGCAACCCTGAAACGCTGTGCGCTGGACTGCGATTTCAAAGTCAAATGCACTTCCGAGAACTGTAATCAAGAGTTCGACGTGTCGGAAATGTTCATTCAGCCACAATTTATACGGGGATTAAAAGATGACGAGATAAAAGACGAACTCTTACGAACGGAAGCAACAGACTTCAAAACTATTCTCAAAAAGGCGCTCATTATGGAAATTTCCAAAGAAAATACAAAGGAATTATCCATCAAGACAAATGGGCCGAAAAACGCGACGAGCGATATTAATGCAGTAGAATACAGAAAACCGTACAAAAGGCACTATAATGACAAAAAGGAAAACGGAAATGCTTACAAAAATACAGGCGAAAACCGACAAAACTACAACGGCTCGAATAACAAAAACGGAAATTCCCGTACACGCAGATTCAGAGCAAAATTAGAAAAACTTGGCATTGAAAAATTATGCATAAAATGCGGCTTACAAAATCACAAAACTCAAGATTGCTTTGCCAAAAACCTATATTGTAAGGGCTGCAATAACAAAGGTCACGTGGTCAAAGTTTGCATTAAAACTCTTGAGAAAAACTCTATCGCTGCAGTCGAGGAAGACAGCGATTCAGAGAAATACCAAAATTGGGACGAACTAAATGTCTTTGATGAAATAAATACAGTCGAATTACACGACGATACACAGAAATTTTTTGCAAAACTCGAAATCGAAGGCAAACCATGCACACTAGAAGTGGATTCCGGAGCCACACGTACACTAATTCCGGTTACAATGTTCAGAAAATT